ATGGCACCACCAGCCAAAGAAAAACACAACTTTACTATCAAAGTTCAACAATGTTTCAGAAGTAAAAAGCAAAGTGAACAGGTGGTTGGAATCCAACAAAGCAAGCAGAACCTGATGCAACCAAGGGCTTTCCTACTTCACATAGGAGCCCCACAAATCCAGATAAGATTCGAACTTGGATAACCATCTGCTGACTATACATGATTGTTTTATCACAGCTCACATCAAAGTGAATATTTCTACTGAAGGTAATGTTTGGCAAGCTGAGAGCGCTTTCGCAAGAAGATTTGTGTTAACGCCTCAGTCTCAATTCACAGCCCTCCTTTTGAAGAGCTTTTGCTGTTGATACACCTTCAAAGGTACAGTGCATAGAAACGGAAACACTGAGTAATATCTAGCAATCAGATCCAAGGTTAGTGCATTTACCCCACCATTGGTGAAGTGATGGTTGCCTTCAAGAACAAGAAGCTCCTGTGATGCATGACAAGTAGGACCCTCAAGATACACTCACCAGCTCTGCTGCCATTGTCTGGATCGCATGACAACCTGTTGCTCCCCTTTTTCATTATCAGGGATGGCTGGGTCATGGTAGCACCTCAGGCTGCTCTCACATCTGTGGCCACTTACTGTCACTATTTCCCAACTTTTAAGACCAAGATGGAACATTATTGCCACAGAGTCATAGGCAGAGGAAAAGTTTGCTGGACTCCAACATGTGCAATCAGGTTGTTTTTGCTTGGAACTGCTTTTGCTGTGAGAGTGAATTATCATTTTTATGAGATTTTGACCAACCAGAACCAAGAATTAAACACAGCCATCAAACCTTGTGGATAATAAATAACTGAAATTACAAATATTACCTTTAAAGTACACCCACAGGGAACGCAAAGACCCTAAAACAGACTTTTTATAACTGTATTTTATAGCAGCTTAGAGGTTGTTTTAACATCACTGGTGGACTCTGATATTGTATAGATGTCAGACTGTGGTTAGAAACAATAATTCACAAGACTGAATTACGTCAACTTTAATTCCTGTTTTTGTGTGTTTGTTAATATATTTCGCTTGATCTTGTTTTATTTTATTGCTAAATTGACACTCAGTGAATGTAAAAATGTACTATGATTCGATGTAACTCTTACATGGATTAATCATAGAATTTTGTTAAGGTGCAGTAACTTAAAATGTTAAATAACAAGGATTTTGTCCTTCTGAACAATATTTCTTTGACATTTTTGAAGAATTAATCCTCTCACAAGATCTCACAATTATCAGGTGTATGAGTGTTACCGTCATAAATGCTGGTCTGCAACACTGCAGTAATGAAACTCAAGCATCTGTACTCTTCTTCACAGTATTGGTGTCCTAGAGTGTGATTTCATCTTGTGTTATGGTGTTGCAGAGGAGGTAAGCAGACAAGGGGTGCCTCACATACTGTACTCACACACTCAGACAAGCCCCCAACACACAGTCCTCACAGTGATTTTGCCTCACTAATGCCTTTATACTTGTTTTTAATGCCTATAATGAGAGAGCGGGTTGGCCAATGGTCAATATGCAGTATAATACTGAAATCTCAATCTATATTTCATTAGTTTAGCTGTTGTTGTGTTTTAATTTATTTATTTATTGATAAGAAAAAAGATGCTGAGCTTCAGTGAGCATCTTAATACATAAATCAGATGGATTAATAAATGACTTAGTAAAAATTTTGCCACAACAGACTTATGGATTTTCTACTTTTCTGCCATCTTCAGTTATTCAAAAAGATTCAGAAAAAAAAATTGTTGAAGAAGAAGGTGGTGTATAAATCTGTTATGTAGAGCACATTAAAATATCATATGCATGGCTATCTAAGCCAGTAACATGTTGTAGATGAATTTTTAATGAATTGCTTAAAAAAGACTAATGCATTGAGCTCGGAGCACGGCTGGTATTTCTGTCTGAGGCAAAATCAGACTTCATTATCCTATACATCGTAACAGAATTTACTCTAAGCGCCAGCCAGTGAGAGTTTTCAATTTGATTTCTGGGTTTAGAAAAATGTAATTTTGAAAGAACTTTGTGATATTGGCACTTGAAAAGCAGATACAGATATGATCCAAGTCCTCATGAAATGAGAATCAGCTGACTCATGAATCGGTCTAGCTCTATCCACTGCTGTCGGCACAGGTTTTTCCCACCATCATACCTCTGTTGGAGAAGCTTTAAGTACATAAACACTACACTATTAACTAGATAAATGAAAAGGAACACATTTCTAACAATGTGACAAGATCATGAGACATTTAAGATCTGAGTGGATTTAGGGAACCAAACAGCCTGACCTTGAACTAACAGACTATCAACATCAGCTGAACTCATGGTACCTTCTTCTGTCACACCACTGAATTCTGATTATCTTGCCTGTATAAAAATCAACATCTAAATGACAATAGTATTTGAGGGGCTAAGCTAGGATTTGATGTGGATCAAAGATGTTGTAGTGTAAGTGTGACACCTTGGTCTTCTTTCAGTTTGTTTATGCACCACATCATTAACATGTAGCATAATGTAGTACCACTTGAGTATTGAGAGGATAAATGCGCGTTATGTAAAATGAAAAAGAAAAGCTTTTGTTTGAGATAGCTGTTGCCTGGAGTGTTTATCTACACTGGGATGGGCGGTACCAGCAACTCTGTCTGAATAATTAAAATATGAATGATGAGCTTCAAGGCTATTATGGTAGTCTGTCTCTATAAACCAAAAACACATACAGTCAAAGCAACATTTTAGAACAACATGCAGTGATTTCACCACTTCTGTCAAGTCATTATTCCACCTCTGATAGCTATAATATCCTCTGTATGTGAGAGTTCAATCAGCATCCTTGTGCAGACAGCTAAAATAGTCCTGACCTGATGACCTGAACGTGTCTGAACAGGTTGTGCTCCAGAGTTTAAACTATAATTGCCCTTTCCATTGCTTGCTCTAAGACGTCCTTTGCCAAATATGGACACACACTCTTTGATCTAAAGACTCCCTGTTTAGGTTTTAGGTTTAGAGGTTTAAGATCTTGGAAAATTTTATATCAAAAGACTGGAAACTCAATCAGAGTGCATGACTAAATCACCAAGGTTTGCTTTAAGATGCAGCCAAGCCCATGTGTGATGGATTATTGTGAATGAGAATAGAGTATTGTCCTGGTTTCACAAAACTTGTTTGTTGACAACAAATAACTCATCTAGCAAAAAGATACTGGAACAATGCTGGGTACATAACTGAGGAGTAACCGTGGTGGAAAAGTGACTTTTTGTCGTGCTTATGAAAGGTCAAACTGAAATTTCTGTTTAATGTCAAATACACTGTGCTGATTCAGTGAGCTTGCAGCTTTGGTTATCCGCCAAATCATGAGGAGAGTAATGTTGGGTAATGCTGCTGTCTGTCACATTTAAGCCCCTGCAACCAATCATCTGACAGAAACTTGGTTGGACTGTATTCACAAACCCAAAGGAGTAATATACTACAATCTGTTTATAAGCCACAGGTTCATGACTCAACTGGAATATTTAACCTCAGGTGGAAATAGTTGACATTGATGACTAGTGTATATTACATTTGTCTCATAGGAAACTGGAATTACAACAATCCACAACCAGGGTCTGTTTCCTCACTTGATGTATTGGTAACAGGGCAGACTGTTTTGCATTAAATAAGTATTAGATACCAAAAACGGTACCTAAAACTAGGAGATCTCTCAAGAGATGCAGACTGGATATTTAAAAAGATACTATTTACTTTAAACCAGAATCTAACAGGTGCCTTGACATGGACCCCCAGAGATCACTGAAATTCATGTAAAAAAAAAGTACCAACAGACATCTACCAAAGGGAAACTAAAAACATCCACCAAAAACCCTCAAAAGAGCAGAACTAATGCCAAAGGATAACCTAAATCATTAAGTAAAATCTACCCTATAAAGCAGACACATACAATGTACTTAAAAACATAAGGTTTCATTTAAACAGCCATTTTAATGAACATTAAAACCAACCATAAATGCATCAAAGTAGACATCAGTGGGTACCTTAAAACAATATCTGATGCTAAAAGGTATGTTAAAACTGCTACAAAAGAGACCTTAAAGCAAAACTGCAGGGTTAAAAGACATCTGTAAAACTGCTGCTTTAGCTGCATTAAAACACACACCTTAAATACCTTTACACAGCTGTCTTTGGGTGCCTCAAAAACAGACACTATAATAAACCATGAACCAAAGAGCACCAGTTATTACAATAACAGCCCAATCAGTAAATGCTTCATGCAGATTTTAAAAACAGATCAGCCTGATTCAGCTTATTAAGAGGGAAATTTCATTCCAGTTGTTAAAGCTGGTTGATATTTGGATTGTTAGCTATTCAAACTCTTAATTTCATTGTTTTCTCCTCTTCAGCAGATAATTATTTTCACTGTGCGCGACCTAGTAAGTTTCTGCTTTTGTTGTATTTGCTGGCCTTGGCAGAAACATGGCAGGAACAAAACAGAACTGATTTGTAGATGATAAACTGTTATGTTTGGGATGTTTAAAGAACTCTGGATTATCGATCACTGTGTAAAATGGTGACAAATTTGTGTAATGTACAAACATCTAAGATCACATCAGGAGGAGAGAAGGAAAATACAATCTCTGGTGCAGAAACAAGTTTAGGAGCAAAATGTAGAGACATTTTTTCTTTCTGTTCTATTTTGAACACATTAAGTACTACAACGTTTCCAAGGAACAGAACTCCTAACATAATGGTGTCAGAGGCTTGTGACCCCCAGTGCCCTGTGTGATGGTCAAGCATTGTTTACTGCCACACTCACACAAACAGGATAATTGAAACCAGGCATGAGAACAACACAAAAGAACACAGCAAGAAAACAAGTGGATAAGTGTAAAGTAATTAAAGAAAGGCTGGAAGCATAATAAAAGTCATGTTATGTGTAGCAGAAGTTATTACTGTTTTTCCTGTACTGCTTTGAACATACCTGCTGGAAAAAAATATGTAACCAAGTAGCGGGATATACGTTGAACAATGAAAACACTGACACTTTTACAGCTCTGAACCTTTTGTTTGTACAATAAAACTGTGTCTTCTCCTGTTGAGGTTTGGCTTAATACCCAGGTTCCTAGAAACACATTCACACTTTTCAATTCCGAGGCTGAAGCCCGATGTGCAAACTCTTGAGCATGTGCAGAACACTCCAACTGAGCCTTACGGGTGAAAAGAGAAAATAGATCCCCAACTGTATTATCCAGGTATGTTAGTAGCAGTATAAAACACTGATTCAGAGCAGTTCTATTCATACTAATGTGTTTACATGTTTTAAAAGTCCAGTGTTGGTCAGATTAAGGAAACATGTGAACAGGTAATGTGCCACTATAGAGTAGTAGAAAATTGATTAAACGTTTTATGTGCATGGGTTTCAGAAAAACTAACTAAAAAAATAATAAATGACACATGTAGTTTTAAATAAGATTTAAGTTGTTTTTTAGAAGGAAGCTCACAACCCCAAAACTTTAGGAACTACTGATATACAACACACTGATAGGTGACATTCAGAAAAGGAGGAGATGAAAGAATTTTTTTTTTTCTGATATATTACAAATCTGTGCATGTTAAACTAGTTTTATTCAGATTAATAATAGATGCATGTTCAGGCATGTCTTTATCAGGTCATATGTCCAGGAAAAGGCTGGATCTCTTATCAGGTTGACTTTTATTGGTTTGTTGGAAAACCGCACAAATATGAAGCCGAGGAAAGTAAGTTTAAAATAGACGCTTTAAGTACTTTTGGTGTATCCTGAATTAGCCAGAGGGCACAAAAAAATATCTTAAAGGCACAATAATTTTTAACTTTCCTAGAGGGAACCTTTCCAAAAGGATAAATAAAGTTGTATCCAACCTAATCTGATCTTATAAGAGTCTATGTAAGAATCTAAAGGTCTCCTAGTGCAACTGTCTGAAAAACTAAAACATGAATCAGTTTCCATCACACACATCCTTGTATGGAGCAACATTGCAGAAATCAGACATGTCTGTTCTTTATCTTCTTAAGATCATCATTCATTTTAGACATACAACTTTTAATGCAGAATGACATCTCCTCCTCTTATACCTCTGAGGGAGCCTGGCACCATAAATAGGTAAGAAAAAGAGGAAATCTGAGGTCCAAAGCTGGGTTCAAGGAGAGGTACCCAAACAGACTGAGTGCTAACTTAAGTTCAGCAAAGGTTTCACTGTAGTGTATTAATGTTGCCGTAACGTCAGCTATCAACTATCCTGTGTGTCAACGAGTGTTCAGCTGTGTAGAGATGACAGGCAGGAATCCACAAATGGAGGAAGGAAACAGTGATTATGTTAATAGAATTGGCGAGAAAGAGTGTGTATATGTGTGCGTGCCTGCGTGCGCGTATGCACATATGTGTGTGTGTGTGTGTTTGGAGAGGGGCGGTCATGGCTTGCTGAGTCTTTGAAGAGGCTGAGAGATCATCTCCAAAACCAGAGTGCTCACAGCTGTGTCTGGCACGGGAGAGAGTGTGTGTTGTTGATGTGTTTGCGTGTTTGTTTACATGGTGTTTAGCCATGATCAGTATGTGCAAACATCATATACTGCAGAATATCTCTAATCAGGTGTCAGGCAAATGCACAAATGGAATAAATCTGGACATACAAAGGAGGAGAAAAGTTCCAGTGATCATTGTGTATATTTGTGTTTGTGCTTTAATTAAAAATGAATTACACACTCTGTGAAAACAATCCATACCAGATAGTATCTTTGATAGGGATGTTACACTCACCCTAAACAGATAACCATCAGAGCTGTGTGAACTGACTGAACTGAGCAGGAACATTCATGGTCTGACTGTACATCTAAGTTTATTTTAATCTGCCAGCTAAGCTTTTAGGGGTTTGGTGGACTGAGAGTTAATCATATTTATTCAGCAGGAGAATGAATGAAGGCCAAGTTAGATAAAACCATTAGCAGTGTCCTTAACAGGCAGAAGAGAGGGCAGGAAAAACGTAAGAGGGGACAGGGGGGAGGAAAATGAATCAGAGCTCAGCAAGTCAGCATGAAATAACAAATAAACCGAAACTTTGGAAGAAACGTGTTTTTTGGAAAAAAAAAACAGAGAATGGTACAGTTTGTACATTTCCACAATGTCAAAAAAATCGACATATTGAGTAATGCTGACAAATAATAGACTTAAAAAATATATGTGTATGAGGGACACGTACAAAAAGTATGAAGTTGACGTACAACCAGCTAGCCTTTTGCTAACTTGTTTGTCAATTGTTTTGGTATGTAGTGTAACAAGTCATCTGAAAGATAGTCCGATAACTAGCATATCCATATCATATTGTCTCAGGAAGCAAACAAAAGCAATAGCAGACACTTTCCAGGAGACAAAGAACCTTCAGAGGAGCTCTACAGCATGGACCAATGTCGGCATTGTTTTAAAATTTTAAGAGATGGGACTCAAGTTACTGATTAATCCAGATCTTATTTTAAATGATCCAGATAATAGTTGTGAATAATAATGAAGACCAAATATTGTCGAAAATTATCATGTTTTATGTTTGTATACTAGCTACATTACGCGGCTTGAGTGGTTACTCCAGTTTAAAATGACCCAACCAACATATGTCTTGCAGGATAACAATGTTTAATCATTTAGCAGTACTACATTCACTTTATCCGTTTACAGCAGCTCTGCAGTAAGTGAAGGGCTGATACACTTGTATTTAAGATAAGTTTGGTATTTTGGGGGGGAGAAGTTGTTTTTCCAACTGTAGTAAGAATATCTTTCCACTCTCAGGTCATATCAGTGGAAATGTAGCAGAGCCGAGCCATTCTGTAGCCTAGCATGACACAGCGTTAGCACTGGGAGAAACAGTCGACAGCTGTACATTGTAATGTTGCAGAGGTAATGAAGTCCAATTTTTAGCATGTCAAATTTTAGGCTTAGAAGTAGCTTTTGTTTACCCTCTGATCTCACTCTGGTCAGCAATCTTTACGTTAGGCTAATCTAACCAACTCCTGGCCGCAGCCCCACTGTTTTTGCGCTGGCATGAGGATGTTTAAAAGTTAAATTCTCTTTGCTTATCCTTTTGAGACTTTACCCCTGCTTATCAGTTTATGGGAAAAGAAAGTGGAAATGGAAATGAGCCTAAAAATAACAGGACAAACATGAGTGGAGGTCTGTGTGTTCAAACAGATAACAGCTCAGGTAATGTGTTCCATGAGGGTCAGTAAATACTACACCCTGAGCTCTGCAGGATATCCCACAAGGGGGGACACGAGGAGGGACTAATAAAGTCTCTGTGTGTGTGCTGATAAAGTCGTTCTACACACTAACCAGAAGCCCCTCCTGCTGCACTCTGGGTAATGGAAAAAATTATGTTGGAATTCCAGACTGCTAGCAAGTATGTGCACTTTGACCCCAATCTCTCTGCTGCTGAAATTCACTTATCTAAAAATAGGCAAACCTGGAAATAATCAGGCTTTCTCATGTCTCTGAAGGAGCCAGGATCCAGCCTTGTAATCGTGCTCTAAAATTCACTCGACATGAGTTTTATCTGCGGCCTTGCTCTGGAAGCAGTCATGTAGACCTGATGTGTGGATCTCAAGGGAGCAAGCTCTGTTAGCATGGGAATTAAGCATGAGAAAACGTTTTCATTAGGGAGGTCTGTTTGTACTTGACTGCTGCAAACAGGGAGAGAGAAACTGTGTGTGTGGATGAAGTTTAATCTCTGAGTCATTCTGCAGACAGTTCATGTCTCTGACTGTCTTCGCACCGGTTAAATATGTTCGCCTGCGTGACCTCTGCGAGTAAGTTTCTCTGAAGCTGGCCAAAATTTGTTCGATGAGAGAATGGAGTTTTTTCACTGACAGAATCCAGACTTTAGTATATTTAAATTTGTACATGTTGAATAAAATATCCTACTGTTTCATTTTCAATGACTTAAAAAAAAAAAAGTATTTTTGGCCGTGTCGCACCACTGTAGCGCAGAATGGACAAACTAGCAAGAACCAAACGCTATTTGTGTATTTATGGGTGGCTGTGTAAGACATGGTTGTAGGAAAACAGAGAGGATAGGTTATTGTTGTAATGCTCAAGTGAATTTGCATTGATAAAGTGCTATGAGGTCACCGTCTTTTCCGGACTTATCTATTTATACCAACTACGGCATGAAGACGAATACCCAGACATCCACCTGCAGACCTGTTTTCAAAAAAGATGCAGAGTCATGGACGAATACGCGACTCTGTGTGTCAATATCACCAGATCGATAGTTTATTTTATCGGTGTCTTACAAATTCGTACTCGTGTAAAGACCACCTAAGATTTCTCCTAAAAACTGGCACTTCCTCAGATCCTGCCTACCCAACCTTTAACATGGGTGTTACCCCATAGATGGAAAATCTTAATGACAAATTCATGTTTGAAGACTGAAGCTAAAGTTGTCAGTTTTCTGCTGGACAGATAAGAGAACATATATTCACTCAAAGTTACATCTGTTTATGGAAAAATGAAGCCTGAATTATCTCAGATACTGCTGCTCTCAGAGACAGTGCTGATGTTTCCTCAAAATGGTAGGAGTCAACTATTGGGCGACACCGTGCCAGTAACTATTTCTTTTTTCTGACAGAAATATGACTTTTTGTCCTTTAAATAGATACGGTACTCAGAGATTGCCAACGATTAGCTATGTAATACCATTTCAAATGGGGATAACACACATCTCAGCATTTTCTAATGTCTTTTCAGAGTCCTGATACTTTTGACAAAGCAGATCTGAGGTGCTGAAAGGCAGCTGACTGCTCACCATAAACAAGGGCTACTACATTATCACCACTTTATTTCCACAACATAACATATTATGACTTAACTACAACGTTTTTTGGTAACACATTGCCTTCAATCTTGTAACATTAAGACTTGAATTACTTGTGGGTTTATTCTGGTAGTAAAATGTTACCAGGATTTTGTAACTAGAACATTGACTTTGGTTAGTACTACTATGCTAAAATTAGCTAAATTTTACCAAACCAATGAAAAACTAATAACTGATATTATAGAACTGAACTAGAGTTGTTTGGATAAAATAACAAGAAAACACATTCTCCCCTACTCATGCCTGCTGTAGACGGTGCCACCTCAGTTGGATAAATCTGTTTTGTTTCTTGATGGGCCCTAACCAGCTAATGGGTCTGGCAATACCAGCCTAACACATATTGGCATTATCTCCACACATGACGCTGCGTATTATGAATTTGGGTCAGACTCCATACTCAAAGTGACCTTACACTCAGCATGAATAGTATGATAGTCTGGGGTTTTGCATTCCTTGAAAGTATCCTCTCCGTGATGAGTTTCCACTTAGTTTACTGCACCCTGTTTGGTGCCAGAGAGAGCTCTCCTATTGTTTGTTGACAATTTACTCATTATTGAACTTCGCTTTATTTGTAAAGAGTAAACATCACACCTTCATGTGAAAACCTTAGACAACTTGAACAACTTGGTTCCACCTTCGGCCAGTATACGAATTTGAAGCCGAAAAGCTCTCAGTATTTCTGCAATTTTTCTCCACTTCCTGAAACCAACATTATCAGTAGTGTTGTATGCACTCCACCACTTGCGCAGTAGCATTGTATGCATTTGGCGGGAGAGTCATTGAGAGTTGCTGTGATGACGCTCGGCTCAAACAGCGTATCCCCTGAGTGAGCTACGCAATCATCGTACGCCCATAGGCTGTATCAAGTGGCAATCATAGAAAACATGAACCCCCTAATAACTTTAGAAAATTGAGCTTTCTGGGGGAAAATTATATTCTGTGTAATTAATTTCTAAAGTTTGTCCACAGCTCCAAAGGAATTGCTGGCAGAGGCGGGATTTATTACCTTTACTGCAGCCCATCACCAGAGGGTGCTGTTCTCGGGGTTGCTTCACCCAACGAGGAGGCAGATGCTGTCTTTTCTATCTACAGTCTATGGTGATGAAAACCCTGAAAAGTTGTTACGAATGCCACTCTGTTTTACCCAGGAGCCAAATGTTGTCACTCAACCTCAGATAAAAGTGTGTGAAATACAGACAAACTCCAGTACATTCAAATAAACTGAGAAGTTGTCTTTTAATACAAGAAAAACAAATAAAATACAAATAAGGATGGATTTTCTTTTATAAAAGCTAGTGTGAGAGTTTTTACCCAGAATAAAATTGATAGTCTTTATAAATTACAATAGGAGAGAAACATCTCTTTTAAAAACCTTTGCTATACAATCTACGTTAACTGTTACTGCCAAGTTTTTACATGAAATAAGGGTGCTTTCATTCCCAAACTTATTCCAGTATTCAGTGAAAACTAAATTCCAGGATTTGTCTCTTGACTCGTGCTTGTTAAATCTAAAAATAACATAAGTAGCTGTACAAAAATATGGAGGAAAAAAGGACATTCAAAGGAAAAACTCTCCATATTAGGGTTTAACTCTGCCCTTTTATTTCACCTCAGTCACTTATATAGAGACATGAAGACCATAGCCTTGAAACACGTGCACATTTGTCCGCCACCCTCTCTTAGCTGCTGTAGATCCCACAGTGAGGAGGCCTATTTTGGAGCTCCCACTGGGTGCTCTATAATATCCCTCTGTACTAATTTATCCTCCCTTACCAATTAATTTAGAGCACAGAAATCTTCTGGGACAAGGGTCAGTTATTTTCTGAAAGAGGCCGCTCATGGCCTAAATCATTTTTTAGATCAGAGGGGACCGACTGGTGAGACTGTCCCCACTTCAACTCATTACTCAAACTATTTCCAGAACATTTCCAACCATAACTTTAAATTCTATGAAAACTCAATCCTTAATAAGCAGAGACAGACATATGAATATACAGGGAAGGGTTTAAATACTGGGGAACAGCATAAACAGAGTCTAAGAAGGGGTACACTCTGAGCTCTCTATAAGCACATTTTAACATTAAACTCTGAGTTCAACCCTCGTAGGATTCTTCTTTTTCAAAAGCTTGACATAAAAAAGTATGTGAGGGTCTATGCACATGAAGTGATGGCCTCACTTTTTAAAAAATCAGATAAAATAGGAGAAACTAGGATGACTAAATCCATCTTCATAGCTGTAGTTTTGTGCTCATGGAGATCTTCAAGTTAGTCATGGGGTATTAAAGAGATATTTTTATTGAACAAATAGGGCATTTATCATATTTCTTTTAAAAGGGCATTGCAGTGTAAAAAGAAATAAACATGGTAAATTTCGTGCCCTGATGGAGTCAGCTGATTCTGGATCAAACAGTAACAAGGCCTTCATTTATAACTGTTGCACACTTGTACTGTGTAACTGGTGTACTCCACTTTCCGTGTTAGAGCTCTGAGCATGAAAAAAAAATAACCAGAAAATGTGAAGACTGATAACACTTTGGGAGCATTGAGGGTTAGTGACCCAGATTACAAAGTGGTGAATAAATGTCAGATCATATGCTGCTCAGACACCGAATGTTCCAGACCAATACATGTCACCATAAACCGTCATCATCACACTAAAAGTGTTTTTGCCACGCAAAGCCATCTCCACCTCAAATCATTTCAGGTTGTGTGTGTTCATACCTTTGAGTGTGTATTGTGTGGTATGATAAGTGATGACGGGTGTGTATGATCTTAACAGCAGCCAGTCAGTGATGCCTCAAACCCACAAGGTCTATTGGACAGTGTGCCCCGGCTTACAGGGAGCATGTTTGAAGCATTTTGCAGTCTGGAGATACTAGACTCAGTGCACAGAGAACTGTAAACTAACAACAGGTTACTATTGTTGTCTGTGATTGATACTTTGTTGTGATGTTACTTACAGACAAAGTAAGCAGCTATATGTCCTGTTGTGTTCAATATGGAGGGAAAGTAGGCCGTGTGGTTGCTCTGTGTTAACAAGATATTGATCATCTATATGAGTAATTCTTGTCTATAGGATTAAATGAAGGTTCAGGAGTTCATACATGGTGTTTGTTTTAAATTGGCTGTATGCTGTATGCCATTGGGTCAGTCTGGTGGAGGCTCGGTCAAATAGAGACTTGTTGCATATTTTTAGTGGTGCAGGTTGATGCTTCTGGGACATGTCACAACAATCCCAGTGGAAACACGAGTATTGACGACTACAGGCATGGATCAACTCTGAAGTCTCGGGCACTGACAAAAAATGACACACAAATGGGAGACCAGGGCTTGTTGTCACATGAATAAGTTGTCACATTGCAATTATCTTTGCCACCAGAGGGCACAACTGAAAAATGGAATAGTAGTTTTATTTCTTTACTTGGTCAGGGGTCGTGTCCTGTCTGAGAAGAGAAGAGCACATTATGAG